AAACGTACTACAAATGTGACACATTGTTTTTTGAAATGAGAGTGATCGTACAGATATGTTAGCTCCTGTCGATAAATGCGCGATTGAACAAGATTCATATGTTATTTATCATAGTAATGGCTATGATTTTGCTGGTCCGATTGAAACGATGGATAAGTCACAGAGAGAGTGTCCAATAATGAATGTTATTTAATACACAGATGTGCACGTGTATGAGTATCAAAAAAAGGAATACTCGATCAGCATTCGCGCATCTTGGACCTTTTATGCTTTATACGTTTAGGTCCAAAAGTACTCTGTATGAAAAAGATTAGAGAATTACGTGGAGATACTAGTAAATTTTGCTATCCAGTCCTGAATGAAGACAGTGACGAAGAAGAAGTTACAAAACCATTTCACAATGGTAACGTCATTTATCTATTTTTTTCGTATATAGTCTATTGACGCATCCCGTTTCTTTTAGTGAAATTGAAACGAAATGTCCACCTTGCCCTCAACAAGTGATGCTCAAGGTAATGAATCACTAGCCATGCAATTTATTCCATCAAAAGGACTATATGTTTTAGTTACCGCTGCTAATATTTTGAACGATACTACAGAAATGATTCAAGATGATTTAGCTCTGACAGCTTCAGTTTCTCGTAAGTACCACAAAATAATTAGTTTTGTTCCTGTGCTCCGATAACTTATTTGTATCTCATTTTGTTCTTCAGTTTAGAATATGTGTTGCCACCATTATCGAATCATCCGCTTTTAGCATCACCCGAACGACTACCACTCACAATACAACAAAATTCACTTAAATGTACAAGCACAACGTCTCAAGCTGTTCATGGACATCTGACACTAGGAAAAACATTAACAAAAACAACAGCACCTCCAAGTGAGTATGTGATATAATGCAACTTGTCTCAAGCTACTTGTCTTTTGCTTTTAGGTTCATTGATGTCGTTAGTCGCAGCCTCATCTAACTCCTTGTGAATAAGTTTAACACAAAATATATGTACTGGTAGAAATCTAATCACATGCATTCACTCACACACAATGTATACATAAACTCATTCAATTAAATAATGTTGAAAATTTTGTAACAGTTATTGCAAATGCTATTGGAATTAAACATGAAAAATTACAATTAAATATTGTTGATAAAAATATTGCTGGTTCTTATTTATTTATACTCGATAAAATGAAATCATCCATTAAGACAATACCAGATATAGTCATTGAACCAAAAGTATTAGCACATGTTGATACAAGTGTTTTAGATGATTTAATTGATATTTATCCATCCTACTTTAAAAGTGCAATATTAAAATTAGATATTGAAGGTTTTGAAGCGTATGCACTTCAAAATGCAAACATTTTATTTGATAAAACAGAAATACATGCTATTTATATGGAATTTGGAAAATTAATTGAATTGAAATCGTCAAATGAAATGGTGGAGGCAATTAAATATATGATTAATTTTTTAAAAATAAGAAATTATGAACCATATGAAGTAAATGATACAATGTATAAACATTACATGAAGCAAGAAAACAACTACAGCGTGACGTTAAACATGGGACAGTGATGAGAAATGCAGAAGATGAACATATAGTTGTTAGTGGGCAAGAACTACAACAAATGGAAGAAGAATATGAATTAGTAAATGGGCTTTAACATTAAAATAGATTACTGTTCGTTTTTGAATATATATGTGTTTTCTATCCTTCTCTTTTACATTAAACTACCGTT